GCAATCTAGCTATAATTGACGTCACAGGGTTCTCGCTAATGTTTGTACGTGCTAGAGTTTTAAGGTATCTGGAGATGACATCAACTCCGCCCTTTAAAGTGTTCCAAAAAACAGCTGCAGTAAGACGAATCATCCTACAGGGTGGTATCGGGGAGCCCCTTTGAATAACCTCTCTTCTAATAGCCTTGCTCAGGTTGTAGTAGGATACAAAACTGTAAATGTCAGAGGCATGACTGCTCTTCAACATTGTGTCGTATTCTTTAGGAACATTTGTTCCATCCATTCCAATCCACTCAAAAATTGAGATTCGGACGCAGTCCAGACAATAGGTGTAACTGTGGCGTAAAGACTCCGAGAACTCGATGACACAAGCATATAGTATGCTACCTTCCACAATAGAACCCCCTGTGCCAATGACAAAGATAACATTATTAATGCCCAGTGTTGCACATTGATGGAGGACCTGAGATCTGCACTGTGTCGATGGTACGAGCTCCCGGAACAACTCAGAGCTCCTTTCGTCAGTTACCACGTTCTCCAGGACCACAACAGCTCCGTATTTACTACGGAGGAGGGATGCTGTTTCTATGGTTCTTACTGCAGTCATGGTCTTAATTTCGACCGCGTACGCAGTATCCAGCTGCTCTCCACCCGTAGCTGAAAGAAGAGCATCAGGGCTATCAGCGAGCATGGCACAGCTTGTGCTCTCAATGAGACCAGCGGTTCTAATGTGCGTCACGTTGAATTGGTACTGTTCGTCCCAGTTATACGTAGAAGAGCACAGACCCCTCCTATAGGCACCTTTCTGTTCTGAAAAGAACTTTGGTAGAGCCCGAATAATCTCCACCTCGTTGCGAGACCCCTCCTTCATCCCTGAGGTTGGAACGAGGGGTTTCATGACCCATGCGGTTAGTGAAGCTTCCCTAAATGCATCACAGACCCTGCTGGCTGCCTGTTCCGCCAGTTCCTCGGCACTATATATATCTGGATCCGTGCCCCCTTCTGTCGAAACGGCCCCATTGCTGATGTCGGCCCTCGGCTGCATTACAGCTGCGACAACTTCGGGCTTGTTCACCCGGGTGTCTATTGCTCGGCCGAATACGGACAGACAGTTCAGCAGCTCAGCCTTTGTCGTAGCTGAGATTCTGCTTGCGGAGCTGTTTACCAGCCGCTCAGCAACTGTCGTCCGTGAAGATGGGCGGGGCTGACGTGCCATCGTCATGCCAAGGGTCATTATGACTTGGTCCCACTTAGACCGGAGATGCTCACGGACCACAATATGGTCTTGAGACAGTGGCTGAGCTCCGTGACTAAGAACCCTTCCCCTAAGCTTCCATGACAGGCCCCCTAGTAATGCCTCGTAGTCTCTGGCTACCGCAGCTTTAAACCCCTGCGCAGTGCGAGATGTGAATCGAAAAGCGCGAAGGAGGAACCAGATAGGGTCCTCTGATTGGTAATATGTGAGCATGAGAACTGTATTCAGCAGGTGTTCAACCTTACTTCTGCCGTTATTGACTCTGTCCGATCGGGCCGCGGTGGCCCTTGTACTCCGGGCAGCGCAGATGCGCCCCTTGTCAAAGGTTATTAAGGACTCCTCAAGCTTCTTTAACGCACCCTCCGTGCGAAAGGCGTCACGTAGGACCACTGTGAAAGACCTCGAGGGGAAGAGAGAGGCGTTGTTGTGGACAAGAGCCGCAATTCTACCGGAGCAACTCTCTCGGTAGACACAGGCCTCCGCCTGTCGAACGTGAGAAGCGCAACCCCCGCGGACCTTCAGCTTAGCCGTGTACACGGCACGGCACCCTCTTTCAGACACGTCCATCCCACGGTGTCGGACTGATATAGGGCCATCTCCGAACACAAACGGGTACCACAAATCACGTTTGTGCGTACCGAGGAGGCTTGCCCCCAGTTTGTCCGACAGGAATGCGATAGTTTCCTTAGAATTATAGCCGCGGTCGGCAGCAAAAATGGCATGTGGCATAGGACGCAGGGCACCGGTTGTGGACGCCCCTTGCACCATTTGCATCAACCTCTCCCATGTGTGAAGGAGCTTTTCGCCCGTGCGTGTGAAATGACATGCGACAAAAAAGGGTTAAGTGCTGAACAAAGTGCGTTCCCCACCGGCCCTAGACCCTTCTTAGGATTATTGTGTTGTTGTAAATAGGTCAGTTCAACAACTGAACGAGATGCCATACGCAAGTGGTCATCATCTAAAGAGAAGACAGTTGCCTTTGGAACATAAAGCAGGTCCCGATTTATGGCCGCAGTTTCAGCTTCAAGCTCTGTAATTAGAGTAGTTGCTCTATTAGCTGAGCGGGACCAGCCCGTGCTCGAGTAGTCATGCGCTGCGCGGGGGTCTTTAGAACCCCCAAGAGCACTCCAGAGGTCATGATATCTGTCAGCCGACAATCCCATTTGAAAGAAGTGGCCACTTTCCAAAGGGTCGCACACAGTTCGAAGGGACTCATTATATGAAGCACAGAGGATGTGCAGAATAAGCATACCCAGTATCTCCTTCTTCGTGGTCCCTGTAGTATAACGACGGACGCGCGCGCGGGGAGATTATTAACAGTGCGGCCGTGCACGGTGGACATGTGGGCGGGTGTGCCCACGTGTAGGGAGCGCGCGTGCTGAGCGGTCGTAATCTGGCGTACGTGTACAGTAGTGCACGTGTCGGCCAAGCGGTAGTCTACCAGTATGACGCGTGTACGCTAGCACACGTGGCATCCGTGCGGTAGTCTGTAAGCAGCGCGTGTGTACAGTAGTACACACGTGTAGCTGCAGCGTCCGCGCGGTAATTAGGAATTGAGGCACTAGTTTTTTAATGGCGTACAGTACCTGGTACGCACTAGGCGGCAGGTACTGTATACTGGGACAGGTGTCCGAGGCGTCCCTCTGAGGGGTTAAGACCTGACACCCGTCCCCACCAGTAAACTGGGGCAAGCTCGCCCCCGTCCCTTTCGCGCCTACGTACGTCCGTTTTCGGTTGTCTGTCGCGCGCGCTGGCTTCTAACCCGTTACCGGTCGCTCCCGTTCACGCACCACGGGGCGACTGCGCGTAACCGGCCAGTGAGCCACTCCCTTTTCGCGAGCTCGTCCGATCGGTTCAATTAGCGCGTGGCGTCCGCGTCGCGTGCTCCCTCGCTAAAGCCTCTGCCTCTCACCCAACCCACGGCGGAGAGGAGTTATCCCACAGTCCCTGCTTTTCTTCTCTGGTGCAACACACGGTTCGCTACGTATCGTAGCTTCTCTAGCAAACACTCCGTAACAAACGTGCGTAAGCAGGCTAGAGGAGTAAGTAACTGCCTGGCATCACATTCGTCCTCAGTCGTACCGACTCTACTTGTTATATCGCTTATAACTCGTTCCAGTGCAGTATTGGCCTCTTCGAGGAAACGACGCTCCAGATTGTTATTCACGTTATCTATCTCGACAGAAACATCAGCGAAAGGACTGTCATAGTTCCATCCTTCTAGGCCACCACTTCTCTGCGCACGTGCCCGCTCCTCCAACTCTTCAGCAGAGAAGGGTGTAAACAAAGCTCTTGCCTGTGTCGTTTCGATGTCCTCCCAGTGCTCCCTGAAATATCTTTCGTCGTCGAAGTCATAGTAAAGCCTGCTATAGAGGTCTTCGCCAAGGGCAGCACCTGTGTCCGTCTGCTGCATCTGGGACGTCAGGTATGAACCAGGGTGCAAAGATCGCACCTCGGTCTCTGTGACTTCAGTGTCAACTTCTCCTACAGCTTGAACCTCGCAAGACGAAGTAGATGAATATGACAATTGCAACTCCTGTGAAAAGGGTTCGTCACTGTCGTCCAGAGAGTCTGCCTCCTCCAACAACTGTTCAACTTCAGCGTTCAAAGGGCTGCTCGTCTGTAAGACGAAAGATGAGGAATGAATAGCAACACCGCTGTTGAGCTGGTTCGATGGAGCTGTATTTCTGACAGGGGGTGGGGAGAATTCTTCTTCGTAAAAGAAGTCTGGGGACGTCTGAAGGGAAGAAAGGGTAGCTGGTGGTGGGTTGTTGCGGAGCTCGGTCTGAGTCAACGGAAGCGTGGGCTCATAATCTTGCTCTGACATAGGCTGACGTTCGGCATACTCAGCTCTAGATTCCAACCCCTCTCTCAGAGGCGTACTATTAAATTTGCCACTTTTTGGGGGTTCAGCAAGAGGGGAAGCATTGTAGCTGTCATCAGCGGATACCAGCTGATTGGAGGCGTTATTTCCGGGGGGTTGGAACCTTTCAGCCATCAGTTTAGCCGCAATGTCCTCTGAAATATGGTGCTTAGTGTGGCAGTTGCGAACACGAAGGGAAGGGGAAGTGTCTCTGGAAACTAGCCGTAGATTGCTGGAAAGGGAGATTTTTTATGTGACGTTGTTCAGTTTGTTTGCCGTTTGAGATGGAGAGCCTTTTATATGTGATCTTTGTGATGCCCTCACACAGCTCACACAAAACCATCACAAAATTCACCCTGTCAGTGTGAGAGTTTGTATTTTAAGGTTGACGTTTGAGAGTTTTGAGATGCGTCTCACAAAATCATCACAAAAGATTCACAAAAAATGTGTGATGTTTGAGACGATTTTTGTGATGATCACAAAACGTTCACAAAAAGTGCTACAACTCAACAAATATTCACAAACCATGTGTGACGAATGAGACGATGGAGTGAGACGAATGAGACGACGGCGGCGAAAAGAGCAAAACTCTCACAAATCGTCACACAAATCGTCTCACTTTTTGTGACGCCCTAAATCGTCACAAACCGGAGCACAGGGCTATTATGGAGCAAAACGCGAGCTTGGCGAAAATGAGCATTTACTGCAGGATCCCATACTGTACAGTGAACTCTTGATGTAAGGGGCCTTCAAAAGCAGTTCCTTGATATATGCAACCGAGGGTCTTCCACGTGACAGGGAACCTCAATTTTGGTGCCATAAGTATGAGACTCCGTCTACATGTGTTTGAATTTTCTAATCGTGAAAAGTTTTTCCGTTCACATGAATTTACTTGTCACTCTTTTGTATTTGTTAATGTTGTCCGTAAAGTTACGAAAACGCGTGTTTTGGCCGCGAGTTTGCTCGGATTTTCTGAACGCAAAACTTTCAAACAATGCGTTTGGCAAAACTCACAGCATACCGAAACTCGGGGCACGTGAGTTTTCCACGAGTTTCACATCCGCCTGATCACAGCAGTGCCGAATTGACCCGTCTTGACGGAAAACGAAGTGGGTCTTCGGTTCTTTTCATCAGCACAAACGAGCCTCAAACTGCATGGGTCGTATCGATATGTGTCATGGACGACCCTATCGCTTCATCTGCGCAGAGTCCATCAAACGGATCAAAGCGCGACAGGATCTGCCACAGATGCCGCCGAAGCAACCGCGAAAGATAGACAAGTAGTAACTTCTAAAAAGCGGTCCTCTCCATACGGACCCCCTCAGTCTGTCAAGAAGACGAAACACATCGCTCTTTCGATTGAGAATCATTCTATCCTTGGGGCGAGCTACAATGTTCACTTCAGCGAGTATTCGTGCAGGTGCACGTGATCCGTCGGGCGGCACAACGATGTACCTTACTGGATGTCAGTCCGCAAAACTCGTGGTGGAAATCTTCAAACTCGGGTTTACTTTACGTCCAGCGCGTTTGTGGGCAAATGGAAAAAAACAACGCGTTATTTTACGGACAACGTTGTTGAACGGTCCGTATGAGACCTTTCTATTCCTTTTCTTATAAACATGTACCTCTTGTTCCACTCGCCCTCGAAGACGGACACACAATAAACGACTGCTAGCATCACCTTGTTCGGTTGAAACTGTTCAGCTGTTGCTTCGATCTCTCATAGTTACGGGCCCAGCGCCTGGTGTGGCTTCATTGTTGGCACGCCCTCTGTGAGTGGAGAAATTGTCGAAATATATTAATTTTTAGATGTGCTAGCACATAGCACAAGGTCTTAAGGATTGTTGTTTTAGGGTTGACGTCAATCCTAAAACAACAATCCTTAAGGCGTCAACGCCTGAACGTTTCCGGAAGCGTTCGCCGAGGGAAATAAAAGTTTCTGGAGAGGCTGCGGAGAAGGCCGCGGAGGCCTTCTCCATCCCCAGTTCCGACCCATCATGCCATGCAATGCGAACTGGTTTCAAAAAGTTTCTTTGAGCACACAACAATATACCGATGAGAGCTGAATTGGCCATAGGGGTCCCTTTGTGGAACGTGGTACGATTCATGTTTTTTGGCTTATTTACTACAGCCGCGCTATCAAGGCTGTGGTCCCTAGGAGCTTCCTACAGGGCGGGCAGCAGAGTGCTTGCTGGGAGGCGGGTCAAACTGAGGCCAAGACCGCATTACAGGGGCAGTCTGGTTACGGAGGAGGACACGAATGACTTGAGGTTTAGCTGGTTAATGTTCGTAGTGGTCCTGTTCGTGGCGACTTCAGAACTGCTGATAGAATTTGGGTCTAGCTCAGTGGACATCCCAGCCGGGATAGTTAGGGCTTCGGGGTATGAATCAGGCGATCTACATCAACCCTTCGAAATTGTGAGGGAAAAAGCCGAGACATGGGTGCCGCAAGTCGCGACTGCCAGGAGGGTTAAAACCGTCTATCAGGTCGAAAAATTGGGTGAAATGGAAAACTGGCCGCTGGATTTACAGTCTGAAGACCTCAAGAGCCTAAGGTCAGTACCGACAATACCTTCAACACAAGTCCAGGTCATGGTGGCGGAGGATCCTCGGGAGTGGGTAATGGCGGGAAGAGGAAGTAAGTTGTGGTTTTCCGGCACTGGAGGAGCTGCTTTACTGCTAGACGAAGCTGTTGTGTATTACGACGGGGCTGAGTATTTCCTGTTCAGACAAAGGCATTGGCGGGGGCAGCACTCAATGGGCGTTATCGAACTTGTATCGAATTACCTCACGGGCCCTCTCATGAAAGTAGTTGGCTACCAAAACATTGACTTGGCTGTCGAAACCTATTCGGACCCAAGACTATCGATAGATTGCGGGAGTGGCCCTATCTATCCAGATGGATGGAGGACGACTTGCGTAGATCCTGACTTAGGTCCAGCCCGGATCGAACGAGGCGATCTATCCAGTGTGGGGGTCACGGCGGAGTCGCTCAGCACACACACGTTAACTGTGGACTATGGACGTCGGGTCAAGATGTCGGTGCCGTGGCCGTTGTTCGACGAGCTGCGCCTCTTACCATCGAGCTCGGAAAGACAAAAGCTGATTATCGGCATAGTGAGCGGTCAAGACAAGGCGCTAGCGATGTCTAATGCGGGCGGAGTGATGGTGGTCAAGAACGGCAGTTCGGCCACGCTGTGCATCTGGCTGACGGGCGGGTCGGACCTCTATAACGAATTACAGTGTAGAGAAAAAGAATGGGAGGAGGAAAGTCTGATAACCACCGCTTACATGGCACTACAGCTGAGCACGGCGGGGTTTAGGCAGGCTTGGTTAGTACACAACTTATGGAAGGAAGGAAACGCCGAAGCTGCAGAGACGGAGGTACGGTGGATCAGACCGACCCTCCTGGAAGGTCTGGGAACTTAGCCAAGGAAGTGAAAACAGTAGCTACCGTCGATGAACTTTTCTTCGCCGGGGTGACCATAATAGGGTTTGTCTCCTTGTCTGGGTGTCTAGTGACTCTATCGTTCAAAGGGACATTTTCCAAGGTTGGCCGCCGCACCCTGAAGTTAAGTATAGAAAACACCAGACGGATTTTATCAATGTCAAACGTTACTCGCTTCAACTGCTCGAAAGTGCCAGCAGTGTCGCCGGAGACGGTCCTGATCGCCACTAGTGGCAACACTTGTCACTTAGAGACCACGTACGATGACACTACCGTTCCAATCACGCTAGACCAGGCGGAAAAAGAGGGGATGCTCATGATGGGGCGGAGAGACACCTCATGTACTTCTCGAAGAGCCACAAGAACAAGTCACGGCAGCAGAAGCACGACCGGACCAATATCGGCGGTCGAACCAGTATTCGATGTCAAGATACCGCAACGCCCATCCGGACGCGTTAGAGTCAGGGAAGCGACGGAGGTCTGCGAGGATTCAAGATGGAGGCACATAGACGAGGGTAAGACTTTATCCGCTGTGGAGCTGGTGGCGATAAGCTGTCCGAGATAAGATAGGATGTGAATTACGACGTAGTTCGAGCTGTCCTGTCGAAACTGATAGGTAGACCATTCGAACCGTCGGAGTTCGAGCAAGAGGGGACAATTGTGAGCATATGTGGAACGGGAACGCGTGTCGGGGCGAGCCTGCTGGGACTGGCCTCTAGTATCAAGTTTGCAGTACGCTTGCGATATTGGGCAGTGGTAGGAGCGATAACCCCGAAAGAGTTCCAGGACATACAAATGTCTAGAGAGATGCTACAAATTGAAGAGGCAAGGTCTACGTCTCCTTTGGCGGGCTGTGGCGGGGTCGAGGTCCGAGTCTGTCGTAAGGGGGTTACTGAGGGAAATCGGAGGGCGAGTTCGCAACTTAGCAGGTGTTCAGGACTGAAGCTGAAGGACACACCCGCAGTCGCCGAACAGGAGTACGACCTGCCGCTGCGGCGACGCCCGCGTGCCCGATTGAAGGAGCTACGCGTATACAGTCGACCCTACGCATTAGTGCCGCCCCCTGTAAAGACTGATAATACGGCACTAATTCGGAGCGGCACAATCAGATGGCAGGACCACTACCCGGCCAGAACTCTGTTATTGGAGTCTGTTGTTGTGGCCTTTGACCCTGTCTCTCATGCCTAGCTTCTAGAAAAGCTCGTTTTGCGGACCTCAAGTGCGATAAGGCATTGCTGACATCGCACTCCACACCCAGACTCTCCAAAGACCCAAACAACCTTGCTAGCACTACAGCACTCGGTACGGCCCGCCTCTCCGTAATTTCACACTCGTCTTCTGCCACACAATCATCCATCATAGCATCACTGGCAGACTGATTCTGTAGCTCTCCACCATAATGTATTGAATCGCAAGCATCACTAATAGAAGCTTCTGCCACAAGCTCATTAGTCTCGATCTCAATCCATTCCTCCACATCTTTCCTGCAGAATTCTGCAGTTTCTGCAAGACCGTCTTCTGGCACCAGGCTCAATCAAGTGAGCGCAGGGTTCAAAGTTTTTGTTCCGAGCGTTGTAGCAGTGTTGGTCACAATTTGTTGGAGTGAAGGAAGAGAGCGTTTGATGTTTCGGGTGGTTCGCTCTGAAATTTTGAACTGACGCATAACTGTGGTATTCGCATTCCTGACCTGCAGCAGATGCCCAACCTCGATTTTCTGTGCAATCGTAAGGCGCGTACGCTTCGCTTTGGCGATCTTTTCAGGAATCATGTTAGGTCTTTGAGTGAGGTGCCATCACCCATTGAGCTGAGGCGCATGAGGAATGGGCGATGACGGTGTCGTGCATGACCCGTGGCAGAACCTGTGTCTGCCGGTTTTGGCGGCACTAATTCGAGGGTGGCAATAATAAAAGCGGCACTATTGCGCGTCCCCCCCCGTGTACTGTAGATGCATTAAATCGCACATTTATTAAGGTCGTCCGTAAAGTCACAAAAACGCGTCTTTTGCGGCGTGTTTGCTCGGATTTTCTAAAAGCAAAATTTTCAGACAACGCGTTTGGCAAAACTCACAGCATACCGAAAACTGGGGGCATGTGAGTTTCCCACGAGTTTCACATCCGCCTGATCACAGCAGTGCCGGATCAACCCGTCTTGAAGGAAGACGAAGTGAGGTTTCCGCTCTTTCGTCAGCATAAACGAGTCTCAGACTGCACGGGTCGTACCGGTTTGCGTCATGGACGTCCCTATCGCTTCATCTGCGCAGAGTTCATGAATGGATCAAAGCGCGACAGGATCTGCCACAGATACCGCCGACGCAACCGCGAAAGATAGACAAGTAGAAACATCTAAAAAGCGGTGCTCTCCAAACGGCCCCCCTCAGGTTGCGAAGAAGACGAAACACATCGCCCTTTCGACTGAGAACCTTTGCATCCTTACGGCGAGCTACGATATTCGCTTCAACGAGTATTCGCGCAGGTTTTCAATCTCGGGTTTATTTTACGTGCAGCGACTTTGTGGGCAAATGGGAAAAAACATTAATGCAGGAGAAATATGAGAAATATGAGAAATATGTTTGGATGCGGGAAGTGGGGCGTTGTCTTCGCTGACATGGAATTAGTTGATGTTTCTCTCAAGATCCTTTGATTTTGGGTAAGGAACAGCCTACTTTACACAGCCTGTTTTTGCATTGCTCTATGTGTTGCTGTTTACAGTGAGTTTTTGGCAGAAAGCATTGGTACCAATGCTTTCTGCAGGCAGCAAGCGGTTGACAGCAACACCTTG